CGTTCAAATCCTGTATAATCGAAAACGCTATTAGAATTACAATTTTTATGACAAATCCTACTTCTTTATAATATCATTATTCTTAGATATTTTAGAAGCCATATACCAAATAATTGTACTTACTTTTATAGGCTTCACTCTGCTTTTATTAATACTATCAATTTGTAGTCGAATAAGGTGTAGTCAATAAAATAGCGTTTTCGATTATACAGGATTTGAACGACCCAGGGTTGGTTAATGACGTCATTGCAACCTCTCCACCAATGAAAGACTTGCATTTATAGTAAAATAGTGATTGATCAACCCTAGATCGTTCAAACCCCGTTTATTCGAAAACGCTATATATAAAATATTCAAAATATTCGATATATCGAAATTGAAATATGTAGCGTAAAATAAAAATAAAATTTTTATATTTTAAAAATATATAAAGAAGTAAAAAATGTTTATTAATCAAATGGTGTTAAACGTGAGAATTATTTTTTTCCTTGATTGATATTATTTCATGTTCTTATAATTAAGATTTAATAATTTCAATGAAAATAAATAAATCAAGTTATTGTCACCTTGATTAATTTACCAATTTAATCGAAATACACTTGAATAATATGCTGTATAAAACCCAACAGATATTACCTGCCGCGATCTCATGCAAAGTAAGTATTGCAAATAGTATCGATGGCTAGTGAACGTTGGGAAACGCCATTTGAATATCCTTAGCAATAATTGTTTCGGTCACGAAGAAGAAAGCGTTGTCTCCAATGACTTGTTGCATTCATCGGAACCGATTAATTCTTCTACTGAGACATCACTCTATAATTACGCTTCTCTGCAAAGTGCTCAATGTTCCAACGAATAACAACAACCACAGGGAAATTCGATAAATTGACTGCAGTTTAATAAAATAATTTTTATAATTTTAAACATGTCCTGTAAACATTGCAAAATTTGATATAATATAACAAATAAACTTCATAAATCAAAATAAACTTAGAAAAAATACAACTTGGCAAAAGTATAACTATACTTTCAACAATTATCAGATATTGCAATATTTGAATAAAAATCAATAAACTCGAAGGCATAGTTAGTCCAGTGTGCGACCTATATTACATTATATGGCACTGGCAAGCAAAACAGCTAGTAGGTACATAAGTTCGCATGAATGGTTGTGGCGGTTGCGCTGGGTCCAGATTCAAAGAATCTTCACTTTCATCACTTAATTCTCCGATGCTGAACGTGTCTGTGAGGTCTTGTTTGTGCTTTGATGACTCCTTAGATTTCACCGGAAAAAGAGTTGTTTCATTTTCACTACAATACATAAAACCAAATACATTGATTAAATTTTCATATATAAACGTCTTTTTTTACATATATTTTTACATATAATCGAAAAATATATTATTATTATATTTAATTAATCGAAAAAGTTTGACAATCAAAGATTTATTTTTAAATATAACAATGTTATTTGTTAATTTTACATGTATATGATTATTCAGTACCTTTCGCTTTCACTGTGCCAGTATTCAACTAGAGGAACTTGTTCTTTATTCTTGTGCGGTATAGGCAATCTTTGAATTGATATCAATCCGGCAGAACTGGTACTATTTGTATTTTCATTGTCATATTTAGGAAGCTTTATGTAATCTGAGTTGCGTTGAATTCGCTTGGCCTGTTCAATACGTATCTCTGCAAAACACATTATTTATATAAAAATATACAAGATATGTATATAAAAATTATATTAATCATTAATTATTGTAAGCAATTGTTACAATAAGACAATATGTGAAATAGAAAATTATTTCAATACCTAGTTTCTTCTGCAATTGTTTGGTTGTATTTCGTTGAGACGCTTGAGTTTGGTTACTGCTACAACTGCTATCACTACCCTGTAAGATTAAAAAAATAAAGTAATTTTGCACTGTACATTTCAATATACAAGTATCATGATAATTTTTATGTATAAATAGCTTTGTTATATATTTCACTCTATTAGAACTACTAATCTAATGGCAAGCATCTGTCAATGTTTATCGAAATAGTCATTTACCAAGAAGAGTCTTTCGTCTTCCACATGGTTAACAGCTTTAGGATCACTATCAATACCACTATCTTCCATGTTTCAAGGCATTTACAAATGTAGAGGCTTAGTTCCTTAATTCATCTGAAATAAAAAAAGTATTTATAACACTTGTTTCTATATGTACTTTTTTTGTCAGCTGGTCAAATATAAAAATTTTAACACAACTAACATGACACAAACGTAAAATATTGTACCATAACTAAAAATACTGATATTTAGTCAAATAATAGAGGTTGTGTACACATGTCTCTACTCATCACAGTTTCACATGCATTCAAGATTTTTTAAATTTAATAACATATATTATTCTTTGTTGTGAGAACTAAATAGAAAACCATTTAACAAGTTTCAGTTAATGATATTTACATGATTCTATACAATAATCACTCTGCAACTTGTTGGAATGATCACATTGCCTTGGTATAGTCCACATTATTGATTTTCTTCCTATCAAATAACCCCAAAGCAAGCTTGCTTGTCTGGACGTTATGAAAACAAAAACAAGTCTCACGATAATCAAAACATTTACACAAAGAGTTATGCAATTTTCAAATATTTTACGTTCTTCATAAATGTCTTTGATAACTGTATCGCCAACACCTGAGCACGCATTATCATTATGTATTACGTACCACAATAAAATGTAGCAAAACATTACGTAGATCGTAAAATATTTATAATTCTATTTATATTTTCAATAAAATAAGATTTTATTATTTGAAGGTTAGAATTTGTGAAGGCATTACCTCAAATCACAAACTAAAATCATAGACTGATATCACTATCAAGGCGTATCCAAGGAAACCACAACAGACTTTCCAGTATTGAGTCATACATGAGCACAAGATATTCGGATTTTACCTTTTTTATATATTCTACAAATATATTTGTAAATCATTGAAGAATAATATTACTGAGCCATTCAATAAATTGGCTTTAATCATCATATCATCTTGCATCACAGGATAAAATTGATTTTTTTATCATTAACAATATCCACGATAAAACAAAAATCATGCTAAGGTATAAATATTAAAACATATATTGGATGTTTGTTATCTACTTTTTATTGTCTTACACTGTTGCAATTATTTGATACATTTTTACAGGAAACAAACAGGAACACAAGCACCAAAAAAGATGGCCTCTAAAACGTCAGAGATATTAAGCAAAGAAGTATGTAGTTATCCTTATAACTTTATAAATAAAAAAAATAAATCTCTAATCACTTTAGAAAAAGGTTATATTACACATATAACTATATAAGTTAAGTGTAAAGAAATCATATATAACACAATCTTACATTTACATAGCATTTAAGTGTAGCAAAGAGTTATTCTTCACGACAAGACTTGGGTGGTGGTGATATGGATTGGATGCGAGGGAAGACATTGTTAAAGCCAGATGATCAGCTACAGTTAACAGAAGCAGTATGTTTGATCTATTGCTTATCTCTATTGAACATTATTAAATAACTATATATCTGTAACTATTGTTTCCTAGGAATTACAAGAAGAATTTGCCAGAGTGTTAACCATACAAAACACCAGAATACCAGACTCCTTGGTAGAATGGTCTTGGAAATTACGAGAATTTGTAAGATTACCTCCACCACCTCATTTAGTGAATCTTATGAATGTAACTGGCACTATACTACACAAAGACTCTGAGGAAGCTAAAGTGCAAATGGCAGGAGGAATAATTGGTATGGAGGAATAATAAATAAATCTTTTTTGTATTTAACAATGCACCAGATAAAATAATTGCATAATTGCATTGTCACATGTGTAGCTGATCAAGAAGAGGCAGCAGAGGAGAAATTAAAGCATGACGAAGTTGAAGAACTTGAATATAAAGAAGAGGAAGAAGGTGAATATAGAAGATATAACTGGTAAATAATAAAAAAAAAATAACTGTAAATAAAAATTAAATGGTATGTTTTTTACAAGAACAGCAGATGAAATAGATAAAACGGGAGAGCTAGCTGAAGCTGAACAAGAACAGGAATTGGAAGCTGAGGTAGAACCTGAGGAGGATGAAGTGGAAAAGAAAAAGCCCAAGAAAATACCTAATCAATTTAATTTCTGCGAAAGGGCGGCGTTGACATATGATAATCCTATGAGAGTATGTATTATAATTTCTTCTCTAAGATAACATACAAATAGATTATTAACAAAATATTTAAACTATTCAGGCTTAGAAAGTAAAGATATTTTAAGTAATATCTGCAAAATAAAATCCAATAATTTCCAGGATATGAGTACACAAACTATACCACCGCCTACTGCAACTTTTAATGCTAATGTCCTTCAGTGGACTATCTTTGATGAATATCAGGTACAATTCTCTTCTCATAATATATTATTTTATGTTCAGTGGAATATTATAAATACTTAAATTATATTATTATGTATTATTTAGCACATATTACTGTGCAATATTATTTTTTTCCATAAATAAATATATAATTAATTAATAAAGTCACGTTATTTCTACATGTACATCGATTTTTGTGCAAATTATTTTATCGACAGGAAGACTATGCACAACAACAACGCGAGAAAGAAAAAGAGAAAAAGATACCAATGGCACAACCCAAGAAAGAGGACGTAAAGAAAAAAGCTCACATGGAATCGTCAGTGATCACAAACAGAATGCTACAAGCTGCTAAAACATTAGAACGTATGGTGAACCAAAACATTTTCGACGATATATCACAAGGTAATTGCTTTTAAGCCTCTTCTTCGACGAAAACGTCAAGTACATATTTCTTCAATTATTTTTAGATTATAGATATTGGGACGATCCGAGCGATGAATTCAAGGACGGCGAAGGCTCCTTATTACCTCTGTGGAAATTTTCTTACGAAAAAACTAAGAAGCATGACATCACGGACATGTGTTTCAATAGCAGATATTACGATCTTTTTGCGGTCGCTTTTGGAACATGTTAGTAGAAATGCATTATCTGCTCTATTCTTTACAATGTTATAAACAAAATTTGTGTTTATTTTAGTGTCATTTAATAGTTTAATAACGAACGGTACAGTGTGCTTATTCAGCTTGAAGAATCCTTCGTACCCAGAGTGGATTTGTCCAACAGAATCTCCTGTAATGTGCTTAGATTTTAACGCACAACATCCCCATCTTTTAGTCATCGGTATGTAACAAAACAATATCGCTCCAAATATTTATTTAAAAGAATAAATCGTGATTTTACTAAAAATCTTTTTAAAGAAGTATTTAAATTAACAAATTATGCCATCTAGTTTCTGTGAAAACTATTGTAGCATATATTAATTAATTAATTATAATTAAGGTACCATGGATGGAGGAGTAGCGGTTTATAACATAATGTTACCACCGTCCACTCCACAATACAAGAGCAGCGACGTTGTACAAAAGCATGGAGGGTTAGTATGGGAGGTCTGTTGAATTTTTTAACTATTTTGTAACAAATTGAAAATTCCTCTACAAAAATCTACCCAATAAAATAAAAAAGAAATCATGCTTGCAATCATGATTACAGATTCGCTGGGCGCCTGATACAGAAGAAGGGAACCTGGCGTTCTTCAGCGTTAGTATTGATGGCAAAATAAATCACTGGGTGTTAAATCAGAACGATCTCGGTCTCACTACTGTTATGACATTATTCTTGGCCCGGCCACCTATACCGGGACCAGATGGCACGATGATTACGCTGAAAGGTAATGCCAGACAAATAATAAAAAGTAACCAGAGATATCGCGTCTCGTTAAGCGTGACGATTATGTAGCCGTTTGAATGCAGGATGCGGAACGTGCATTGCATTTCATCCCGCCGATCAGAATGTTTTCCTGGTAGGCACGGAGGAAGGCACCATATACAAATGCAATACGGCGTATAGCAGTATCTACATGAGGACATATCACGAAGCACATACTATGCCGGTGTATCGAATAGCCTTCAACAAGTTCAACTCTAGTATTTTTGCGAGCTGTTCGAGCGATTGGCAAATCAAAATCTGGGAAGATGAAAGGCTGTAAGGCTTTACCTCCAATATTCACACGAACATTTATACTACATTATTATAGTAATATATTATATCACATATGCAGGGAACCTTTATTTATGTTTGATCTTGGTGTACCGATTGGAGACGTACAATGGGCACCGTACAGCTCGACAGTACTCGCTTGTGTGTCAAACGATGGCAAAGTTATGGTGTTTGATTTAAATGTTAACAAATACAGGCCTATCTGCACTCAACAGGTTGTCAGTAAACGAAAGAGCAAATTAACCCGATTAGCTTTCAATAATGTGTTGCCGTTTATAATAGTCGGCGATGATAAGTAAGCAATTTTTTTCAAAATTCTGCAACACTCTCATTAAATCATTATTATTTAAAATATTATTTATATAATTTATAATTTGTTTACTTAATGTTATTTAATTTTGCAGAGGCACTGTGAATACACTAAAATTATCTCCAAATTTACGGATAAAAGTAAAACCAACGAAAAAACAATTGCACTTATCGCAAATAGAATTAGAATCCATGAAATTGGAGAAGCTGCTCAGTTTTGTGCGTGAGCCTCCGGTACTGACTCCGCCTAAAGATGTGAGAACAGTCACTTAAACAGGTAAAACCTAAACATTGTACACGGACTTCAATCTTTTGTAAACAACAGCACTTTATTAATATATATTTGCTATAACAGATGGATACGTATACATATCTCTATTTTTATAAATTGGCACTAATTATGAAATAGAAATCAAATAGCTTTACAAAGTAGTTTGTGTACTTGGATTTATTGCCTGGAAAAAATATCATTATGATAGTAAAACAATTCAGGCCCGTTGTTTAATACAATACACTAAATAAATTAATTTGCATTAAAATACTTCAAATAAAATGTAATGTTATTTATGCCATTTTTTTTTTAATGTAAACAATTTTTCCGTTTGAAAGCTTCCTCCCGTCTTAAAATTACGATTTTTGATTGAGCAGAAGTTGAACAATCGAATTTCTACTATATAAATATTTACGAAATATTTTTGTAGAACTATTCAAGATGTATTATTAAATATTTGTCTATCAAAGAAAACATTTTTAAAATATGAGATTTAATCTTTTTAAATTGTTAATATGAAATATTTAAATCTCTAGTACAGACTATGTAGTAGTTACCAATGAACAATGGTAAAACTAGTAAAAAGTTAGTATATATATA